ACTAAATGTGATTTTGATGATATTTATACTTGTTAATGGAAAATTCATTCTTTTTTTTTTTTCTACTGCCAAAGAAAGAAAAACATCCACACTAATGAGTGTGAGTTGTAAATTAGAATGCAGATATTGATGCTAAGAAAAGTTGGAATATTGCACAGGAAAAGGGGCAAAAAGGAATATATGAAGCAGTAATATTTCCTGATTTTGTTTCTCTTCAGGACTGTAACACACCCATGGCATGTAGCCCTATGATGTGACTTTTGATAGTTGTGATAAAGACCTGAGCTATAGATGTGTCAACATAAATGCTGAACGAAAATGATAAGATGAAATAATGTACCAAGTGAAACAGCTGACTTGCAAGTTAAAAGGAATTGGCAACAGGTAATATGAAATCAGATTATACATATGAGGTGTGTCGCTATCCAGTGTTGGACCGGACTTTTAAAAATTATTTAGGTTTTCGATTTTTAAAGATTCACATCTAGTTTAAGAGTTATTCTAAAAATATGAATTATTATTCTATTTAGAATCTTCATCTAATATTAAAAAATTAAAAACCTAAAAATCACATTAAAATTTTTAAATAAAGAATTGGTTATATTTTGAAAAAATATTAATCAACTTAATACGTCTTTTCTTAAAAACAAAATACCATGGCTAAAAAATTGAATGAAAAAAAAACTAGAAAATGCAAATTAAATTTATAAAACGTGAATATCAAATGAAAAAATGATGAAATTCATGAACAAACTCAAAGAAATCCAGAAAACCGAACTGTAATCCCTCACAAGTGAAGAACACCTACTCAAAAAATGAATAATACCAAGCTAAAACCAAGAAATTTTTGAGAAAAATGCAGCGAAAACTCCAAAAATTCTTCCACTTTTACTTTTTTTTTTTTTTAAATTTTATTTTTCATTCTCCCTCAACCCATATTTTTCTTGCAACTTGCAATTCATTCCTGTGAAAAAAAAAAAAATTAAAGACTTTTCTTTCATTAACACAATAATTAAAAACTTTTCTATTATGAAACAATAATTCAAAATTTTAAAATCAAAGCGCAAAGACCCAAATTGTATATATATATATATATAAAGACGAGCGCTATAAATAAGATAAATTAAGCAAAGCCTGACAAATTATAGTTGGTTTGATGCGCAATAAACAAAGACCTTAGCATTTGCAAAACAACCACACATTAAAGAAAGACCCTTTGAATTGATTTGATGCAAAATAATATATAAAGTGGAAGGTGGCAATATGATATAAAACAAAGACCTTGGTAAGGGTTTATTCATAGTAACTCCGAAAAGAAACATAGACGTCCCCCTCCCAAGGTAATGAAATTATTATTATTTTTAGGCACCTTGTTGGCCGTTCGGAACGTGCACAAGGATGTGTATATGTGTGTGGCGATGATTTGACAAAAGAAAAACGATCCGAAGGTTAGGGCTGTGGCTATTGTACTATATAAGGCCAAGGAGGCCTCCACATTTCTTCAAGGCATTGCATCTTTACCAATTTGCTTGCTAATTAATTTCCACAACATTCTTAGCAGATATGCCTTCCAGAGTCGTTGAAACACCACTTCAATGCTCTACGGATGATTTTTTCAAATTCTTCAAGGAGAAAGCATTCCGCTTAACTGATGTCTGCGGTGAAATTGTGCAGAAAATAGAACTTGCTGATGGTAACAACAGCTGGGTTGATGTTGTTGGTTCCCGCAAGCGGATTTACATCACGCCTTCCCCTGGTACGTAATTAATTGATTAAGAATGCAATAATATTATTGTAGTACTTCTCCATGAATACATGTGATGATTTGAATTCTAGCTAGCATGGAATCACTTCTGATTAAAATTTCTTAAACATTTATATTAATTAACCATTGTTTTTTAATTTTTTATTTCAGGTGCTTCGGAGAACATCAAGTATGAAGTTGAAGGCATAGATAACTCCTCCAGGAAAATATCCTACAACGTGCTGCAAGGAGCGATGCTGCAATTTTACAAGACCTTCAAAGTCACTTTTGAGGTTACTGTTGCCAGTACCGCAAAGTGGACTATCGAATATGAAAAACTAGATTCATCCAACGAAGACCCTGATGTTTACACAGGACTTTTGACTACTGTCAATAACAATGTGAATACTTACATTCTCTACGGTGGCGAAGTGTAGGTATCATAAATAATAGAATATGCTTGCATGCCTTTTCTCATATAAAAAGTTCAAAGGTGCTTACATGCATGCAATGTTCTTACGTATGAACCTTTTGCTTTGGCTACCATATTCAATTAGTTAGTAAGGCTGGCTCCTGATATGCTTTACCTTCTAGTTAGGGTGTGCATGAAAGGGCAATGCCTTCTAATAGTGGGTATTTATCTATGTAATAAAGGTGGCCTCCCCTCCTGAATAAAAGTTGTTGGTCTTTAACAGCGTACGCTAGTTGGCAAGTAAAACATACTAAATAATAATTCCAGCTAAAAAAGAAATATTAACATATCTTGTAATCTAACTATTTCAACTCTTATTGTCTCCTTCCACTAATGCTAGCTAATTCCATGTCTAATCACAATCTGAATTGGAATTTTTTTTTATTTTTTAATTGTGATTAGTGGATGGAATAATTAATTAAAAGCTTGAGAAGACAAAAACCTCAAGAAAGAGACAACTAAATACAAATTCTTTGGTATAATTAAGCCAATATATATATATATATATATATATATATATATATATATATATATATTGCAATAAGTTAGATATTTTATGAGAACCAAAAAGGATTTGAATTTAGTTGAATTCCTATTACGCCTATCGCACGTGGACATCTAGGCAATTTAAAAGAATTCTAGATAAGGAAATTGCTACTTATTTTTAAGAAAACTAGGACACCCATAAACTAGTTTTCAGAAGATCCTAAGATAAGGGAACTGGTTATGCAATGAAAGCATAAAAATCACCCATTTGACGTAGGCTGCTACACTTTTAGCATATCAAAAGAGATTATCATGCAATTTATGTTGTTTGTCAAGTTGTTTCTAGTGTGACGGGAAAAGATGTGATTTTTTTTTTTTTTTATTAAATGTCTTTGGATTTTCAACAAACATTTTTCCACCACACTAAGACATAAATATGGATGATTTATGTTGAGTGATCCTATCCAAAGTATTTTACTACTATGAAATTCAGAATCCCACAAACCATGCATATGTCAAAAAGAGAGGCAATATATGTAATGCCCATGACCCAACTGGGAGCCGAGAATGCTACTTCACAATCTCATACCCAAGAGTATAAATCAATTCACTGTGTCCTTTGTCTTGAATTTCTATTATATTCTTTGTAACATCCAAGGCTCAACAGGGAGCCAAGAGTGCTACTGCACTATCTTACTTTAGAGTACAAGATAATGCATTGTGTACTTTATTATTCTGGATCTTTATTATATTGCACAGCAAAATTAAATTTTTTATTCGGTTTAAAATTCAAGACATTCGAAATTTAACATTTAGCGCTAATAATTTTTTTTACAAACTAAACCCAATTAAAGGAAAAAGTGATGACGCCAAAGTTCCATTATATACAATTAAAAAAAAAAATCAAAATTGTGCAATTAAGCTATTCAAAACTTCAATTCACGGATATCCAATCAAGGAATGAATGGGTGTTTTTTTTGTTAAGTTATTATTTTTAGGGCTTGTATTCTGTTTAAACTAAACTAAACCAAAATATCATTATTTATTTATTTTTTTAACTCAAATTTAAATAAATAAAAAACCAAATTTATTTTGTTTTTTAGTTTTGATTTGGTTCGGTTTGGTTTTTGGTGAAAAAAGATTTATTTTTTATTTTCATTTTAGAATATTTATCATTATTTATATATTGGTATAGTCTTGTACTTTAATCTTATTTAAATAAATATTTATTATAGTTTATACATGCTAATTTAGATCATTTGAGCTAGAGAAACGACTTCATAGTCTATAAAACAATCTTTTTTACTCTATTTATATTATTTTAAGAAATTTGGTTGTAATTGAAAAATTAAATTCAAAAACTAAAATTTTAGTTTCAAAAACCAAACAATAATTCAGTTTAGGTTTGATTTTTTTTTTTTTATGAGTTCGATTAACCAAAAATCAAACTAAAACGTTAAGCACCCAATCCAAAAAACCGAATGCTAATCTCTAAATGCTTCCCTACATCCATTTTGTTTTTTTGGTTTTAAAGATCCCTTCACTATATTTTGTTTTAATAACATGCATGCAGGTTATATTTTTGTTACCATTGGAGTTTGAAAGCATGATATTTCTAGCTGAGGAAGAGTTTGATCTCTAAAGGTTTTTGAAAAATTTATTTTGGTCCCTTTATTTTTGTCATCATACTTTATATTAAATACAATTTAGTCTTTAAATTTTTTTTCTAATTATATCCCTACATGTTAATAGTAAATTTGGTCAAATTTTTAATATTTTCTTAGATAAATGAAGTTTTTTTATTTTAATTTTAATTTTTTTCTCATATATATATATATATATATATATATATAACCTAAAAATAATAATTCAATAATTACAAGACCAACATTTTTTTTAAATAAAGGGACCAAAGTAAATGTTTCAAAAAAATTAGGAACCAAAACATCTATTAGCAAAAAATTTCATGTTGCTACATGTCAAATTTTAACAATGTCAGTAAAAATGGACTTTTTAAACTCAAAAGAAAGAGAACCGTGCTTCAAAATTTCATCATTTTCCATGAAGAAACATAATGAAGCTTCTACGTAACTGGGCCTTTTTCTGTCTCTATCATGTTATGTGGGTATAATTTTAGTTTATTTACGGGGAGCCTTTGTTGTCATCTGGGCTATAGCTAAAACAATCCAGTTTCTTATGTGAAAAAGGATGAATCCATGCTCTTCCAATTCCAATACCACGTTGATATAGAAATAAACAGATTCACCACATCCTGTGTTTGCGATTGCAACGTTGAGTATGGCCATGCCTTCATTCTTGGAGGAGGATACCACGTTGATTGATGTCAACCGGGATGACCCAAGCAGCAGCAGCGAAGGGGGTGGTAGTGATGGTGATGATAAATCAATTCTTGCCCACGAAATAGAATCCAAGAAACCACCCACATGTACTTCTCTCCCTCCCTTCTTTGTGGTCTTTCAAATAATTTACCATTTTTTTCTGTAATGCATGTGGTCTTGTATGTGTTCTTGATAAATTAATTGCAAATTAATTAAGATCGAGTAAAAAATTTGTTATGTTTGTGTAACAATTAACAATATTTTAAATGCAAATGACTTATGTGCAACTGAGGATGCTAAAAATATAGAATTGAGTCAACATTGATTTGCATGTTCATTGTTGCAGATTCTAGATTCACACAACAAGAGCTCCCTGCTTGCAAACCAATCATAACTCCTAAATTAGTATGGTTACATCATATTCTACTTGATTTTCTATTTGAATAATGTCCATTTCCTTCGTTCAAATTTTCAATAACAATCTTTTGTAATTTTATTGTTTATATGGGATGGTTCAGGTCATTGTATCCTTCACTCTTATTGGCTTTCTCTTCATTCCAATCGGTAAAACAGCCTTGTCCGCATCAAACAATGTAATAGAATCTAGTTCTCCCATTATGTTGGTTATTGCAAAGTTTTTTGGTTGCCAGCACTCATACTTTCATTTTGTGGAAATGTAGGTGGTTGAGATAGCGAAACGCTATGACATGGAATGCATTCCTGAAATATATAGCAATAACATTCTCCACTACATCCAGAGTGTCGGAACAAACAAGACATGTACCGTGAAATTCACGGTTAGTCCAATTGTTTGAAGAAATTTATATTCGTAATTACTTTTCATTTTTTTCTTAGTAATTTTGATTTTAATTACTGTAAAATGTGCATTAATTGGTTGTTATCAGGTACCAAAGCACATGAAGGGTCCTGTTTTCATCTACTATCAGCTCACCAATTTCTATCAGAACTACCGCAAGTGAGTATAATAAGATTTTCTAAATTGTAGATTATGCAGAATGAGCTTTTTTTCTTTTCTTCTTATTAATATGCAGAATGAGCTATGGGGTGCCACTAAGTTATTTTTCCTATATCTCTTTTTCTGGTTCTTAAAATAACTTTTCCGAAATATATAATGAAACAATGAAAAGATTTTCCCTTACATACACTAATGCAGGATCAAGGATCAAGGACACTAAGTTGTTTACAATACAAAGGCTACTTCTTCCTGTCATTATCCTTTGCTTCAATTCTAAACCTTTTTAATCGTTTCTCTATTTGACTTGCAAAAAATTGCTTCCAGATATATGGGTAGTCGAAGTGATAGGCAGCTGACGAGCAAAGCATATGAGGGTGCTGAATTAGAAAAATGTGAGCCACTAGAAAAGGTGGGCGAAGAGCCAATTGTTCCTTGTGGCCTTGTTGCATGGAGTATGTTTAATGACACATATAGTTTTTCTGTAAAAGACAAGGCCTTGATAGTCAACAAAACGAACATAGCTTGGGAAAGTGACAAGGAGACTAGATTTGGGTCTGATGTGTATCCTAAAAATTTTCAGACTGGGGATGTGATCGGAGGTGCAAAACTGAATTCAAGCATACCTGTATGTATATTTTTTTCTTCTGTGTGAACTGAGGATATTTTAAGGTTTTTGATATGCCATTTTGAGTAATAGCCGTTGTTGGTTCTGCACACAACAGTTAAGTGAACAAGAGGACCTTATGGTTTGGATGCGAACAGCAACACTGCGAAATTTTCGAAAGCTTTATGGAAGGATAGATGTGGACCTTGAAGCTAATGATGAAATTGCAGTTGAAATACAGAACAATTACAACTCATACGGTTATGGGGGCGAGAAGTTGCTAGTCCTTTCTACCACAAGTGCATTTGGTGGGCAAAATAAGTTCCTTGGCGTTGCATATCTAACAGTTGGTGGATTTTGCTTTTTCTTTGCTATAATCTTTGCGATTATTTATCACTTCAAGCGAAGGTGGGTTAAATGATCCAAAGTCTATATTCACTAGCGTCAATGAATCCTGATACATACTGTTGCAGAAAATTCTTTGCCAGTTTAGTTGAGTAATGCTATTGTGTGTTGAATTTCCTCGGTTTTCATATTAAGTTGAGCCGCAAGCAGGACCTGATATTTCCTAGGAATAAAACAAATTGGTAGAATAAAATTATTTAGTTATAAGTTTGTATTTGATTTTTTTTTTGTTTCTTTTTGTGTCTGCTCTTTCTGCAGGGAGATTGGGGATACTGCATACTTGTCTTGGAACAGAAATCCAGTAGGATATTATATGAAATGAGATCATTTTATCGCCATCAAAACATTCACTAATTTTTCCAATCCAACCTCTCGGACTCTCCCTGGAATAGGCTCCATTGCTGTATCAGGCTTCTGCATATTTTGTGTGCACGAGCTTTCACTGACAAAAAGATTCAAGATGGATTTGCAAGCATCATCAAGTTGTGTTGCAATATTTTCATGGTCAGAAATATGTGTAAGTAGCAAATTCCGTATCTGCTGGACCTGACATGCTCCATCGTTAAAGATCATTATCTGTTGGAATTGATTTTGAAGTTTAGAATAATATATAAATATTCTTTTAGTTTTTTTCCCGCCACATATATGCAAAGTAGTAATGATGTTGTTATTTAGAATAATCCTAATAAAACTAGTATAAATATTTGTCTTGAAAGTATTGTAATGTAAGTTCAAATCATAAGGATTTTTCTGTTATGAGAATATGATAATATGAGTGAGATGTTTTTTACATGCTTTAGTCCTTCCTCCTCCCCCAATTTTTTCCAACATTATCAACTTCTTCTGTTGTCATCATCTTTTGTCTAGACAATATTGGTTATCGTTGAGTGATTATGATTTGAGTATGCTTCAAAACATTAGAAGATTAGTGACACCTACTTGTCAAGAATTGAAATCCTAGATTTATTCAGCGTGGGTTAATTACCAAAACAGATACTTAAAAAAATTAATATTCTTCAACTTTTATTGGAACTACATCTTCAAAATGCAAAGCTATAATCTAGATTCATTTTGAATCTAAAACTCCCCTACTTAGTACTTTTCTGGTTTGATCACAATACTGTGGCCATCGGTTGTTGAATGCTCTGACAATTTCTTATGTTTTTCTTCTTCCTTCCCCCCACAGAATTGCATAAAAGGCCCAGAATTATCAGTGTAGCGCCCACCAACCTGGAAACGTACGTTTTGTAATCATTGGAGGTGTGAAAAGTTATTAAAAAAAAAAAACATGGCTAGTAAAATATTTAATGTTTATATTTCGTTTAAATGGTAAAAAAAAAAAAAAAAAAAAAAAAGAGGTTGATTATGTGTATTTTAGAAATTTTGTTGACAATGGCTAGTAAACTTTTTTCTTTCTTTCTTAGGCGACCAGTTCTTCTTTGTAGCCTTCTGAAAACAGAAAATGAAAAGAAGTTTTTATAATAATCATTATGTGTATTTTAGAAATTTTTACAATCGAATGGATCTATTTTTTTTAAAAAAAAAATTAACAAAAGCCTCACATGACCGCTAAGTGATGACCTGTTTGTTGAGCAATCATGTGGCTGTTAAACGATAATGTGCTAGTACTGACATGGAAACATTATTTTTATTTTTAAAAATTTTTGAAATAAATAAAAGACTTAAAACCTTGATATAATAATAATAATAATAATAATAATAATAATAATACTCTTTAGCACTAAAAAAAAAAAAATACGCTAACTCTAACTCTAACTCTGCTCTCAATCTTCCAACTCGCACTCCTCTACATCTTAAAAACAAAAAACAATTGTAAATGAAGTGGATGGTTACTGCGTCCATTAACCTATTTCTTTCTGTTGTTCATATTCTCTTCATGATTATTGTCATAATCCAATTTTGACTTCTTATTTTTTTTTATAATTTTTTTCTATAAAAAACACAATAAAAATAAAAATAAAAATGCAAACGAATTGGATATTGCCCATGTTTCTATGATTTTTGTGGTTTTACAACATTTTAGAATTTTAAATTATGCTAGTATTTTCATTCCTGATTTAGAAAACGTAGTAAAAAAAATAATAACATAAAAAAATAAAATACAAAAAAATAGAAGAAACAAAAAATAATAAAAAAATATAAAAAAAGGGATTGAAAAGCTAGAAGAAAAAAGAACAGAAAAATACCATAAGCAAAACAGCTAAAGTCAGAGTTAAAAAAAAAAAAAAAAAAAAAACAAAGAGGGAAAATAAAAAGAAATCAGCGTAGAAATTGAAAGGATTGAAAAAAAAAAAAGAAAAAAAAAAGGACTGATGAGGAAGAAGGAAGGAAAAAATTGAAAGGCATAGTGGTATAATTGGAATAAATTAAGAAGTAGGATTGAAAAATAATTTAACACTCAATTAAGGCGTCTAATTGAAAGCAAAAGAAAGGAGCAATGACTGAAAAAAAAAAAAAAGCACTGAAATATAAGGATAATATAATTGTGCGTGTGAAACGATACATTTCATGAGAGGCAGGGAGTTAAAAAAAAAAAAAAGAAAAGAAAAAAAAAACCAAGAAAACGACGTCGTTTCTCTGGGATTTAATTCCAAACCGCCCTTGCATCTGCTTCCTTTTTTTTTTTTTTTTTGGTGTCATTTTTCCTCTTTCCCAGCACGTTTTCTTCTATTTTTTTGACACCCTAGTGCATGATTTTTTCTTCATTATTTTGGCTTTGATTTCATCACATAAGACAAGGCTAAACACTTGTTCCTATCTCCTCCGTATCTAGACTGGTTCTTGGTAATATATATATATATATATATATATATATATATATAACAGTCAAGGAGCCTTTAAAAATACCATAATTCTTGTCCAAATATCTCACCATTAACAACCCCTAATTTGGAAACAATATTGAAAATTTAAAAAGACAGCTGCAAATCCTTCATAAAATCAAGCCAAGATCCTCTCTTAAATCTTATAAATAGAGAACAAAATAAAGAGAAAAAGAAACCTCAACTAAAAACACAGAAAAATTAGGAAGAGGGGAAAAAAAAGAAGAGAAATAATCAGTTTTTGCAATTTCAGAGGCTATAATTTGGGCAATCTTTTCTCATCAGTTCTCCAACCATCTTTTAGTTTCTACTTGTAGAAAGTATACCCCTCTTTATTTTCATCTTTTTTCTTTATACAATTCATGCATATTTTTCCCTTGGAAATGGTCATGCAAACCATAGTCATAACCTAGAAAATAATGGCAGTTGCATTTTTGGGCTTATGTTCTTGTTTTTGGAATTTCAGCATGATTCATATAGTTTAGTCTTTGAGCTTGTTTGGTTCCTTTTATTTTTACAATTCCATATAAAAATAGTTTTCAATTCTACTCCTCAATCTCATGTAATAAGGGTTAAATTAATACTATTTTAAAGACAATTAGTTGGATACCTGCGTTATGTCGCGATCGGACAGATCGTTATATGCGTAAGTTTAACAATTTGTATAGTGCATGTATTATGGGTAAAATTCTTATTTTTTGTGATTAATATAAATCGAATTTATTTATTGAGCTAAATCATTTTATTTACATATATTTGTTAACAAATTAATTAATAATATTAACATAAAAAATTGTATTTGAATAATCGAAGGTTCTTTCAAAATATTATTTCAATTATTTTATTTGAATTGATTTTAGAACATGAAAAATAAAAAATAAAAAATAATTGATGTTGTGTGTGCAAATAGATAGATAACTTCCAACAAAACTAATGAATCAAATATATACACACACATCACGACCATACTTAGCATAGTCGAATATATAATATAAATATAAATATATAAAAAAACCTACCTAAATTGTATGGAATATATTGAAGTCAAGAGATTGAAATAAAAACTATTACAAAATTGGTTTCAATAAATTTTGATTATATATATATATATATATATATATAATAAAACCGTGAATTAATTTTTTTAATTGATTATTTAAATATTGTTTTTAACAAATTGAGTAAAATTACCTAAAACATATATATATATATACACACACACTAATTTCATTTAAAAATCATATATATTTCATTTTCTTCAAGTCATGCAGGAAACACAAAAAATAACATTCAACCTTCCATAGTTTTTACCTCAAAATCCATAATTAAAAAAATTAATTAAATTATTGAAAAAAAGTAAAAAAAGAAATACATGTCTGCCTTGTCTTTTAGTTTATTGTATAATTTGTGATTATATCATGATTTCTACTTTCAAGAAATATCTTGCCAACATAACCTTGAAATAACACATCAAAGTTTTCATTGGTCATTTATTAAAATTTTAATAGTAATGATATATAGTAGTTGTATTTGTTAAAAAAAAAAAAATCACCTACAAACAAGGATGAAAGAGATCCTTAAATTGGAAAATAAATTATAAATTAATCCATCTCGTTTCGAGAAACGAATTAATTAGTCCTTTTAATTTTAAAAAAATGATTACTTAATTCTTTTAACTATTGTTGACCACAACTAATTTTTTTTTATATATAAAATGTCTATTATTCTCATCAATATTTTTTATTTTCACTTATTTTTTATTCCTTTGCTATTTCTAAAAATAAAAAATAAAATAAATTGAAAAATTATAAAAAGGACAAAAAAAAAGTTTTTGAGCGAGAATGATTAATTAATTCATTCTCGAAGAGAGAGGGAATGAATTATAATTTACTCTTGAATACCAAGCTGTTCCTTACAAAAATAAGGGCAAAAAAGCATGGAAGACAGAGCATTAAATGCTTCATGTAAAAAGAAAAGTAAATGATGAGAAAAGAAAATAAAAGAAGAATCCATCATGGACAAGTATGGATTTTCATAAATTTACCGAGTGGCAATTATCAAAATTAAGAGTAAAACAAAAGGGTTTTTAGTTTCTTTTTGTAGTGACAAAAGAGAAATTAAGAAAACTTAAGAGGGCATAAACCAAGCAACAACCCCACATCGAGAGAAAGAACATTAGAAAGAGCCAAGTTCGCAGATCGGACGGTTGCGAAAAAGGCACACATTTTATGGACGATATAGATAAAAAAGGATGGTTCAAACATTGCATGTGAGTCAAAATGAATAGGGCATTATGGGTGTGAGGCAATAGTAAATGAATAGCAACAACTATGTATGGCCGAGACCGAAGAAGATGGTTCAAATAGTATATGTGAGTCACAATGAATAAACATTATGGGTGTGAGGCAATAGTAAATGAACAACAACAACTCTAGTTCTTTTAATTTTTTTTCTTAATGATTGTTTAGTTAACTCGTAA